CCGGTTCTAGTTGTCATAAGGTCAAGGTACAACTCCAAGCCGTCCTGTTACCGAAGATCACGGCTATTCGAATAGATTAACTTCCCTGCAGGGGTGCACCACATTTCCCAACACGCTCAATCCCCTTTGTCCGGACACACTTTCCTGGGTCATGCCCGATCTCGGAAGATCAACACGTCGCATCCCTACCTAGGCACAACAGAGAGGTCAGCACGCCGGTCTAAATCCTATGGCGCAGGGGCCTGGGCCCATCGCCCATTGCACACGTGCATGTTGCGAGGGCGGCCGGTGAGCAGACCTAGCCTCCCTTATACAAGAGCAGGCATTCTAGTCCAACCCGGCGCGCGCCGCTCAGTCGTTGACGTCATGAAGGCTTCGGCTGATACCACGACGTCGAGTGCCCATAACTGTTCCCGCGTAGTTGGTTAGTGCGTTTAGGTCAGTGGCCAGACTCAGATCAAATACCAAGATCTCGTTAAACGTGTTATCTTGAAATAACTGCAAACGCCGACCAGGACCAGGCCCACCTCTCTCCTAGGTGGTCTCAACCTGCCCTGTCGCTTCGCCACAAAGATCCACACAGAGAGCTGTCGGGAAAGTATGTCCTTCCAGCCCCCAATTCATGAATCAACCGCGAGTACTCCTCAAGCCGACCCGTCTTTTGTCACCACAAGTATCATATATTATGTATAAGTATATACCCGTGACCACCTCTCGAGTGATCACGGCTCGATAGTATAGCATGGTAGACGGACAAGAATGTAGGGCCACTGATGGTAAACTAGCATCCTATACTAAGCATTTAGGATTGCAGGTAAGGTATCAACAGTTGTAGCAACAATGACAGGCTATGCATCATAATAGGATTAACGGAAAGCAGTAACAAGCTACACTACTCTAAAGCAAGCAGTAGGGAGAAGAGTAGGCGATATCTGGTGATCAAGGGGGGGGGGCTTGCCTGGTTGCTCTGGCAAGAGAAGGGTTCGTCGTCGATGTAGTCGATCACAGGGGTATCGGCAACGGTCTCGGGGTCTACCGGAAAGAAGTAACGGAGGGGGAACATAATAAATAAAAGAGCAACCAAAGCAACACAAAGCATAACATGGTGATACATGGTGCTAGGGGTGACCTAACGCAGTAGGAGGTGATACCGGCAAAGGGGGAAAACATCCGGGAAAGTATCCCCGGTGTTTCGCGTTTTCGGGCCGGTGAATCGGAGAGGGAAAGTTGCGAGTTCGATAGGTTAGGGATGTGTGGCGGACGAACGGGCTGCGTATCCGGATTGTCTCGTCGTTCTGAGCAACTTTCATGTAGAAAGTATTTTCATCTGAGCTACGGTTTATTTTCTATTAATTTTAAAAGATTTAAATTATTTTTAGGATTTATTTAATTATTTTAATTCAACATTATCCAGAATAGTGCATGCTGACGTCATCAGTCAATAGAGGTGTTGACTGGTCAAACTAACGTGTGGGTCCAGTGAGACCCACCTGTCATACACTTTTTAGGTTAATCAGGGTTTAGGTTAATTAGTTAGGCTTTATTAGTTAACTAAAATGATTAGGTTAAACTAATACAAAATTAATTTAATTAATTAATTAATAATAATAATTATTATTGTTATCTTTTTATATTATTCTCTTTTGTTTCATAAGAAAAACGTTTTGGGCGTGGGGCCCATCTGTCATAGGCCCCAGGGGCCTTGGCGGGTTTGGTCCAGCGGGTGCGGGCGCACCCGAGCGAGCACTCGCCCGCAGGACGGGACGAGGCCGCCGGGGCAACGACAACGCGGCAAACTGGCGCGGCCAGCCGGGGCCACGGCGAGCGGAGGCGAGGGGTGGCGTCGGAGTGTGGTAAGGCGAGGCCAGGGCTGGGCGTGGCCAGGCGGAGGCGAGCGGAGGCGCGACCGTGGCCGCGAACGGGCGAGGCCGGGAGGGCGCAGGCCGGCGCGAGGAGGCGCACGAGTGCGGCCAGGGCGCGGCCCGTCCGCGGTGTCCGAATGGGCAAGGGGTGCGAGGAGAGGGGGCGGGAGGCCCGGGGCCTCACCGGGTTGCAGGGTCAAGGGCAGCGGGCTCGACGGAGGTCGGGGACGACGGCGTCGGAGACGGGGAGGCAGTCCGGCGACGGCGGTGATGAGGTCGGGGCGGCGACGACCCGGGGAGGAGGTGAGGAAGCACGGCGGCGACGACGGGGTCCGGCGAGTCGAAGTGATGGTGGTGGTGCTCCGGTGACGTGGTGGTGGTCGGCAACGGCGTAGGGTGCAGCGGCGTGCGTCGACGACGGGTGGCCGAGCCGGAGGCGCTCCGGGCGGCGGCGGCAGGCAACGGGGTCGGGAGTGGCTCCGGGCTCAAGGCGGTCCGGTGAGGAAGAGGACCAGGACGGGGTGGCGACGGCAGTAGGGCGGCGCCGGCGACGGACGCCGTCGTAGAGGTCGCGGGGCAGCGCGGGATCGGGGCGATCCCGATCCAAATCGTGGGGGGAAGGAGGAGGCGCCAGGGAGAGTGGGGGGGGGATCGGGGGGAGTGGGTTAGCGGTTAGGGTTCGGTTTGGGTTGGCCAGGGGTATAGGCCAGGGAGAGGGCCGGTTGGGCCAAGTAGGCTGGTTGGGTGGGATGGGCCGAGGCCCATGGGGAGCCGGGGAGTTTTTCTTTTGTTTTCTTTTTTCTTTTTTTTCTTTTCTGTTTTAATTTTATTTCCCTAATTGTTTTAGTTTTGTAAAACATATAGTTAGCACCTAAATTACTAATAGTAATTATACCACTGCCACAATTATTCTTGTAGTTATAAAAAGTAGTTTTTAATAATTTAATTATTTAAGAGACGTTTAAATAATTGTTTCAGCGACTGTTCATATCATCTAGTGCATTTAAACATTGTATGTTAATTTGGATTTACCACCATAATCATCTATGATTTATTTGCTACACTTTGAACATTTTAGATTTGACTTTTTCAAAAAAATTACCGTTTGACTAGATTTTGAATTTGAATTCAAAAAGAGATTTGAATTATCGTGAAACTAACAACAGTAATCGCGATGACGTGGCATCATTAATAGATAGTTACTGTAGCTTAACTATCCGGGCGTTACAAAGTGGGATGCGGTGGGACTCCCACAGACAGTCCCGCCTGTAGCCGGACAAGGACACTTGTATTTCGTGTCAAACTTTGACTAATAATTCTAGTCAACAAAATATGAATTATATGTCATAAAAAACATATCCTCGGAAGGTTCTTTGAAATGCGCATCCAGTAAAATACTTTTTATGACATATAACTCATTTTTTGGTAAATTAATAATCAAAGTTAGACATAAAATTATAAAGTGACCATATATAAGGGAATGAATGGAGTATTAAGAACACCAGAAGGGAAAATTGGAAGATTGCATCTTCCCCTGTAACCCCATGCACGTTGTCGGGAGCCAACCACCAGAGTCCGCCAGAGTTTTCACATCTCGGCACCACCCCGTCTCATCATCACACGGCATGTTGTTGGCCGACGCCCGCCTCGCAACCGACGGCCCGGTGCGACACCACCTCTGAGATTTGTATCCAAGAGCGTGATTGTGACACAAACACAGTCGCTATGGCGGGCCATGTCTCGGTAGTGGTTTCTTTTCCCATGACTTGCATGTGCATCTCTTCTGAGAGTGGGGTTCAGGACCTTGTTCATTTTTACGTCCTTCGTCACCTCCAGAGTTTTAGCTCGGATGACATATTTGTCATCAAGGAGTCTTGTCACCACAACTCCTTTGACCGAAGGGAGGACTTATTTTTTTAGGGGGCGGAGGGAGGACTTGGGCCCACCCGGGAACAACTTTCTGGTCGATCAACCATGCTTAAATCTCTCCAAGACAAGCACGCTTAACTTTAGAGTTCTTTGTGAATGAGTTCCCGGAGAAGAAGGAATTCCTTGTTAATATGAGTAGCCTATCATTCCTATTAAGTCAGACTCTCACATACACCCTCCACTCAAAGGAACTGACGTCCTCGTCGGCCCGTCAGGAACTTTCCCTCTTGGCACACGTATGTGCGTAGAGTCCGACCGGCACATGTGACATGCCATGTGCCATAATGGGACACACGCGCCATGCGCTACATGCTCGCGCACCTGACCTGCACATGTCCATGTAACTACAAGGGTCGGCTCTGATACCAATTGTAACATCGTGGTCATAGCCACCGTATCCCGGCCGTTACGCCTGGCGGGATCTACACTATCCTTACAGACCAATACTAGTCTTGTCTGCGCACTTTGTCCTTACTCGTGCGCACCCGGGAGCAACTTCCCGGCCGTAGCTCCAAATCAAACATGCTTAACTTTGGATTTCTTTGCGAATGAGCTCCGAAAAAGAAGGATATCCTTGTTGATATGAGTAGTCTATCATTCCTATTAACCCGGGCTCTCATACAGTGCTACCACTCTACTCTAGCCACCACTAGGTGTAGGAAATATTCTAAATTTTGGTAGCACCTCCTTTGTTTAGAAGGACATCCATGCCGTACAAACGATGAAAAATGAATCTAGGAAACGAGGTAATAAATCCAGAGAGACCAAAGGCTCACCCTAAGCAAGAGAGTCTCATACTATGGCAACTAAAGATAATCCAAGTATTATGTGATATACATGTCTAATGTTTTTTGTAATGTAGGATAGCACACCCACATACACTCTATCACTATGAGCACCTACGAGATATTGAGTCGGCACAACATCTTGAAATTGAAAAAGTCATCGCATGCGCCTTCGTAATGACTCTCACTGAATACGCATTGTCGCAAGGCCTGAAATAAATCCAGAAAAATGTGACCACTAGTGCCAAGTCTAGGAGTTGAACCCTATTGGGTTGGTTCCAACATAAGGAACCTAACCATCTGAGTTTAGCTCAGTTCGCGATGAGACCACACATTGATCTACAAGGCAATCAGTTAATACTTGAACACGCATGCCTAAACCCCTTCCATATCTATCTCTAACCTAAGGGCTTTAAAAACTTTTTCAAGCCTCCTTTCTATGGAACCCCAATTGTTCATGCTTCTTATGGTGCTTTGGTTTCTTCACTATCATCACGGTGCAATGCGCGTTGTGAGTGCAGTAATCGCTCACGCTCCCAAGGACGGCCCTGCAAGAAATCAGTTTAATTAGGTAGAATTCTATCCATTATAAATAAAACAATAATGGTGATACATTATTGATGGTTGCTACTTGATCGTTGTTTCGGTTAATCGCCATAGTTGCATCTATGCTGAACAATTTTCATTCTTATTACAAGCATGGTCAATGGTTGTCCATGACCATGGGTTGCATCCAAACCAAACTCTCCATGTCTCCAATTCAAACATTGTTTGATAAAATTTAACAGGATATTGATTGCCACAACCCCGCTGGTCATGCACAGTTATTAGATTATTTTATTACTATAATGTTTTTTAGCACGTTGACATATTGCATTGTCACAAGTTAGGTATATGAATTGTTGATGCAGAGGCCGGGGTAATAAATCTTCTATTTTCTTGAAAAAGTTTATTTTCCTTCCAAAATAATTGATGTTCTATGATTATCCTATGTCAAACTTTAGGAAAAATGGCATGAAGTATCTTTTTTTTGGGTGATAGGAAAATGGTTATGAATCTAACGAAGCAAATTTTGTGTTGTAGATGTTGACATATTTCTTTTACAGATTTGGTCAAATTCAACCAAGTTTGACTAAGAAAAAACCCAGAACTTCAGTTATTTTGAAAGGACAGAAGCGTGAGCACCAAAGTTAGAAAGGCAAACCAACCTCTTGAAAGCGCCGTAGCCATGGCTGCCCATAACCAGCATGTCTGCATGATGCCTCTCAACTGCCTCGCACAGCACATTCCTCGCGTCGCCCTCTTTCACTTCATAGCTGACATCGGCCACCTACATACATATAGCGACGATGTATCAATACTTATAGCTTATGCTATATGGCGATCAATGAAGCAATGCCTCCTCGATCTGTCAAAGCACGCCGCATACATGTGAGCAGTGCTCCTTGGCCTTGTCGATGACTCTGGCGGAGGCGCGCTTGAGGTCGAGCTCCACCCTCGGGAGAAGCTCCGCCATGCCTATGCCGGCGATGCCGATGACGGAGGCGGCAGGGGGCTTGGCGCTGACCACGATGAGGTGGTACTGCTGCGGCTGGCCGGGGGCGAAGAAATGGTGGATCGTCCACTCCAGCGCGTAGTAGCTGTGCTCGCTCTCGTCGATCCCCAGCACCATCGCCGGCTTCCCGCTCGCCGCCGCTTTCCCGTTGGCTCCTGACTCCGTCGCCACCGCCGGTGCAGTCGACGTCTCTGCCCTTTCCGCTGCCATCAGGGCCTCTCCCTCCGCCGCCATGTTCCCTCGAGCCAGTTATTACCTAGTGACCTGAACTTGGTTGGTTTTGATGATGAACAAGTAAAGAAGGGAAGCAGCTGATGAAGCGGACGGTTTATACCTCTGAGAAATGGGGCTAGCGGCTGGGAGGAGGACCCGGAGCGCGGGAAGCGCGCAGGTTGCCTCCGTGTCCTGTGGCTATCAAATTTTGTTCCTTTTTTATGAGTCCCCTTTTTGCAAGGAGAAAAATCTGAACAGAAGAAGCATACATTCACAAATTACATACAGTTCCACAAGAACTGAACACACGTGTCCACTGCAAGGAACTTGCAGTCTTGATTACATATACATACAGCGTTCATGCATCTGCATCACAAATAACACTGTTCTGATGAGGCACATCAGTTATTCACATTCTCAATCAATAATCCACATGTAGCATGTAGGATTATTATGGGCTACTCGCAGGAGTTCACTAGTCTGAAGTTGTGAACTGCGACAATCCATTTATTCACAAAGATGCGCAAACTGGCAGGGCACACGAAAGCTCAAATACCAATCACTGGGTTCAGCGAAGAGTCAAGGCTGGGCATTGCTCAGTGCTTGTGCTTTGGTTTCTTCACAACCATCACGGTGCAGTGCGCGTGGTGGGTGCAGTAATCGCTCACACTTCCAAGAACAGCCCTGCAGCAAGGTTCAGGAAAGTTGATAACACAGGTGAGCAATGATGGGCAATTCAAAGTAAAACAGGGAAGGTACGTGTTTTAGGCTTAGAGAGAGTGGTGTTGAGTAACCTGATTGTATTAGGAAATATAGGATAAAGTAGAAATATTCTGGCTTGTCTTGTGCTTCAAGTAGAACATGTATTCCTATATATATACCCACGAGGCTCAAGCAATACAACGATCATTATATTCCATCAATTCTTTCTCTCCCTTCTAACATGGTATCTATCACAAGTCGATTCTAAACCCTAGCCGCCGCCGCTTCACACTTGCGCGCCGCCCCCGGGGCAGTCGGTCTCCATAACCGTCGCCAGGGGCCGCGTGTTGGAAATATGCCCTAGAGGCAATAATAAATTGATTATTATTATATTTCCTTATTCATGATAATCGTTTATTATCCATGCTAGAATTGTATTGATAGGAAACTCAGATACATGTGTGGATACATAGACAACACCATGTCCCTAGTAAGCCTCTAGTTGACTAGCTCGTTGATCAATAGATGGTTGCGGTTTCCTGACCATGGACATTGGATGTCGTTGATAATCGGATCACATCATTAGGAGAATGATGTGATGGACAAGACCCAATCCTAAGCCTAGCACAAAGATCGTGTAGTTCGTATGCTAAAGCTTTTCTAAATGTCAAGTATCATTTTCTTAGACCATGAGATTGTGCAACTCCCGGATACCGTAGGAATACTTTGGGTGTGCCAAACGTCACAACGTAACTAGGTGGCTATAAAGGTACACTACAGGTATCTCCGAAAGTGTCTGTTGGGTTGGCACGAATCGAGACTGGGATTTGTCACTCCGTGTAAACGGAGAGGTATCTCTGGGCCCACTCGTTAGGACATCATCATAATGTGCACAATGTGACCAAGGAGTTGATCACGGGATGATGTGTTACGGAACGAGTAAAAGAGACTTGCCGGTAACGAGATTGAACAAGGTATCGGGATACCGACGATCGAATCTCGGGCAAGTACAATACCGCTAGACAAAGGAAATTGTATACGGGATTGATCGAATCCTCGACATTGTGGTTCATCCGATGAGATCATAGTGGAACATGTCGGAACCAACATGGGTATCCAGATCCCGCTGTTGGTTGTTGACCGGAGAACGTCTCGGTCATGTCTGCATGGTTCCCGAACCCGTAGGGTATACACACTTAAGGTTCGATGACGCTAGGGTTATAGGGAATAGATATACGTGGTTATCGAATGTTGTTCGGAGTTTCGGATGAGATTCCGGACGTCACGAGGAGTTCCGCAATGGTCCGAAGGTAAAGATTTATATACGGGAAGTCCTGTTTTGGTCGCCGGAAAAGTTTCGGGGTTTATCGGTAACGTACCGGGACCACCGGGATGGTCCCAGGGGTCCATCAAGTGGGGCCACCAGCCCCGGAGGGCTGCATGAGCCAAGTGTGGGAGGGGACCAGCCCCAGGTGGGCTGGTGCGCCCCCCCACCAAGGCCCAAGGCGCAAGGGAGAGGGAAGGGGGCAAACCCTAGGGCAGATGGGCCCTAAGGCCCACCCCGGGTGCGCCTTCCCTCTCTCCCCCCTTGGCCGCCCCCCTTAGATGGGATCTAAGCTGGCCGCCACCCCTAGGGGTGGAAACCTAGTTGGGGGCGCAGCCCCTCCCCTCCCCCTATATATACTTGAGGTTTGGGCTGCCCAACACACACGAGTTCCTCTCCTTCTTGGCGCAGCCCTACCCCTCTCCCTCCTCGTCTCTTGCGGTGCTTGGCGAAGCCCTGCTGGAGTACCATGCTCCACCACCACCACGCCGTTGTGCTGCTGTTGGATGGAGTCTTCCTCAACCTCTCCCTCTCTCCTTGCTGGATCAAGGCATGGGAGACGTCACCGGGCTGTACGTGTGTTGAACGCAGAGGTGCCGTCCGTTCGGCACTAGGATCTCCGGTGATTTGGATCACGACGAGTACGACTCCTTCAACCCCGTTCTCTTGAACGCTTCCGCTTAGCGATCTACAAGGGTATGTAGATGCACTCTCCTTCCCCTCGTTGCTGGTTTCTCCATAGATAGATCTTGGTGACACGTAGGAAAATTTTGAATTTCTGCTACATTCACCAACAGTGACATCATGAGCTAGGTTTATTGCGTAGATTCTATGCACGAGTAGAACACAAAGTAGTTGTGGGCGTTGATTTTGTTCAATATGCTTACCGTTACTAGTCCAATCTTAATTCGGCGGCATTGTGGGATGAAGCGGCCCGGACCGACCTTACACGTACTCTTACGTGAGACTGGTTCCACCGACTGACATGCACTAGTTGCATAAGGTGGCTAGCGGATGTCTGTCTCTCCCACTTTAGTCGGATCGGATTCGATGAAAAGGGTCCTTATGAAGGGTAAATAGCAATTGGCATATCACGTTATGGTTTTTGCGTAGGTAAGAAACGTTCTTGCTAGAAACCCATAGCAGCCACGTAAAACATGCAAACAACAATTAGAGGACGTCTAACTTGTTTTTGCAGGGTATGCTATGTGATGTGATATGGCCAAAGGATGTGATGAATGATATATGTGATGTATGAGATGATCATGTTCTTGTAATAGAAATCACGACTTGCATGTCGATGAGTATGACAGCTGGCAGGAGCCATAGGAGTTGTCTTAATTTATTTATGACCTGCGTGTCAACATAAACGTCGTGTAATTACTTTACTTTATTGCTAACCGTTAGCTATAGTAGTAGAAGTAATAGTTGGCGAGACAACTTCATGAAGACACGATGATGAAGATCATGGTGTCATGCCGATGACGATGATGATCAAGGAGCCCCGAAGACGGAGATCAAAAGGAGCAATATGATATTGGCCATATCATGTCACTATTTGATTGCATGTGATGTTTATCATGTTTATACATCTTATTTGCTTAGAACGACGGTAGTAAATAAGATGATCTCTCATTAAAATTTCAAGAAAGTGTCCCCCCTAACTGTGCACCGTTGCGAAAGTTCGTCATTTCGAAGCACCATGTGATGATCGGGTGTGATAGATTCTTATGTTCACATACAACGGGTGTAAGACAGATTTACACACGCGAAACACTTAGGTTGACTTGACGAGCCTAGCATGTACAGACATGGCCTCGGAACACAAGAGACCGAAAGGTCGAGCATGAGTCGTATGGTAGATATGATCAACATGAAGATGTTCACCGATGATGATTAGTCCGTCTCACGTGATGATCGGACACGGCCTAGTTGACTCGGATCATGTAATCACTTAGATGACTAGAGGGATGTCTATCTGAGTGGGAGTTCATAAGATGAACTTAATTATCCTGAACATAGTCAAAAAGTCTTCACAAATTATGTCGTAGCTCGCGCTTCAGTTCTACTGTTTATATATGTTCCTAGAGAAAATTTGGTTGAAAGTTGATAGTAGCAATTATGCGGACTAGGTCCATAAACTGAGGATTGTCCTCATTGCTTCATAGAAGGCTTATGTCCTTAATGCACCGCTCAGTGTGCTGAACCTCGAACGTCGTCTGTGGATGTTGCGAACATCTGACATACACATTTTGATAACTACGTGATAGTTCAGTTAAACGGTTTAGAATTGAGGCACCGAAGACGTTTTGAAACGTCGCGAAACATATGAGATGTTTCAAGGGCTGAAATTGGGATTTCAGGCTCGTGCCCACGTCAAGAGGTATAAGACCTCCGACGATTTTCTTAGCCCACAAACTAAGGGAGAAAAGCTCAATTGTTGAGCTTGTGCTCAGATTGTCTGAGTACAACAATCATTTGAATCGAGTGGGAGTTGATATTCCAGATGAGATAGTGATGTTTCTCCGAAGTCATTACCACCAAGCTGCTAGAGCTTCGTGATGAACTATAATATATCAGGGACATATATGATGATCCTTGAGATATTCGCGATGTTCGTAGAAATCAAGAATGAGCATCAATTGTTGATGGTTGGTGAAACCACTAGTTTCAAGAAGGGCAAGGGCAAGAAAGGGATACTTCATGGAACAATAAATCAGTTGTTGTTCTAGTGAAGAAACCCAAAGTTGAACCCAAGCCTGAGACTAAGTGCTTCTATAATAAAGGGAACAACCACTGGAGCAGAATTACCCTAGATACTTGGTAGATGAGAAAGCTGGCAAAGTTGATAGAAGTATATTGGATATACATTGTGTTAATGTGTACTTTACTAGTACTCCTAGTAGCACCAGGGTATTAGATACCGGTTCGGTTGCTAAGTGTTAGTAACTCGAAACAAAAGACTAAGAAATAAACGGAGACTAGCTGAAAGGTG